TCCAGAGCTATTTATGGTGAGACAGCCAAATTGTTTGAAGTGTACCAAGGCCCTTTTGTCATCAGAGAAATACTTGGACCATCAACATACCACATAAGTGATCTCTACAATGATAAATTATATGGACCCTATCATATATCCTCCATGAAGAAATACATGGAACCGATCTACACACCACAACCGAAGATAGAAGATAAACTGTAATGTGTGCTTAACCCTATAAACATTGCTGTAAAAGGGAAGAATTTTAAATCATACCCACACAAGCAGTGAGTGAACAAGCCAATTTCTCCAGTTACCTCTGTCCCAATAGTTAAACTATAGTCATAATCACAAATTTAATGTATTTAGTTATAAGAGGTTATCATCAAGCAATCACAAACAACTATTCATTTAATGTACTCCATGGTACCTATAAGAATCATACATCTCTTATATGTCTCATGTTCATTTCATATTTCAACATTTGTTCATCACTCCATTCATTTATTATGTAAAAAATAAAAAAAATTGTTTTAACCACTTAAATTAATGTTATGTTTTTTAATGTTTGTAGAAGATAGGAGGGGATAGTAATCATTTTGCTATTTTAGAATTATTTTATTGTTATGTTCATTCCAACTGAAATTTGTTCTAGTTAAACCTTAATGTTAAGTTTGTTAGATTTTTGTTTCAACTCAATTTCATCTCAATATTTGTTATTTGCTGTATAATGCTAAATACATTTTTCGTCATTTAGCGAAAATATGTCATTAAAAATTTAATTACATATTTTCTGAGGGGATATTGTAATGACTCAAAATTCAATGTTTATAATTATAGTCCTTATTTTATTTTCAAACTCAATCTTGTTATATTTTCAATATTTATCCATGTCCATTTTTAATATTATTAAAACCATATTGTCTCAACATATATATAATTTACTATCAAAATTTATTCATTGGCTTATCCAAAATTATTATTCAAAAACAAATCCTCCAATCAGAACACCATCCATCTGGGTTCAAGATTATTAATAAAATTCAACCATGTTTTTATTGATGTGAACCCCATAACTTGATATGATTTACAACAATGAAAAGGAGAGTGCAGTTTAGCTATTCAAGAAGAGCACATAGAAACTATATTAGTTGTGAAATAAATTATGAAAATATAAAGTAAAGTATTGGCAAAATATCCAAATTAAGTTAACCGAAGAAAGAAGAATTTAAGCCTTTAAACTAAGAAGAAAATTATTATTACAGAAGATTGGTGAGAACTTTCCATTTATTAACTCAGACTAACTTATAGACTCCTCAAGCATCCATTTGGACCCTATTTACCTCCATTAATTAAAATCAAAATCCTTCCTATTTAATTTATTGTTTTTGAAAGATTATTAAATTTATAATTTACCATACTCATTGAAAATTTAAATTGGAAATCTTTTGATTCGGCCAGCACGAATCCCCACCCCTGAACAATTTTTTTGTAACCCTATATTAATCATTTAACTTATGTACCATTAAACCTCATGCTTTAAAACCTCTGTCCTCAAATTATTATTGTTTAAGATAAGATTAGAATATAAACCATATTAAGGGTTTATTTCAACACCCGATTTGTGATGGTGTTTGTTTGGGAGGTATTGCAACAACTGAGATCTTGATTTAGTTCCGATCAAACTTTCATCAACCGACAACTCACGGTGTGGTGTGTAGTACAGCCTAAACAGTCTGTTGACGGCTTCTAGCAGGGGCGAAAATTTTGCACACGGGTCATATCCAGGCTCCCCAATTTTAGGCAAATTTGAATTGTCTACCATATGAAAAAATTGAATAATACTTTCAAAACGAGATCGACTAAACATCTTTCCGTACCAGGGAGTATATTGGGAGTCAGATGTTGCCCAGTAGCTCTGAATTGTCGGTTTCCTATTTAGGCCCATATTTAAAATTACTGCAATAAATGCCTTCATTTCAGCTAGTGTTACCGGTCTCCATTTATGGGCTCTAGAATTAGGGGTCAAATTATGTATGTGATTCGATGTACTGATTAGCATACCTGTTAGTTTCTCTTACGAATTTTGTTAGGATTGCAACCGTGAAAAATAAATAAAAATAATCAATCGGTTCAGAATCACGAGGAGGACAGTGCTTTGGACCAGGTTGTTTGAAAAATAAAATGTCATGGTCAAATCCAGGGTCATCACTTTCATGGACAGGTTTCCATTCTTCTTCACTAAGGTCCATATCTGGTGGAATATCAGGGTCAGGGTTAGGGGTTTCACAACGTTCGGAATTTCTTATTACATCTTCAATAGTAGCATATACAGTATTCAAGTTCAAAAAGGGTGCATTTACATTTACTTCGTTGTTCAAAAGGGGTGCATTTACATTTACTTCATTGTTCAAAAGGGGCTCATTTAGGCCTACATTTTCTTCAAGGACATTTTGGATTAAATCTACATTATTGGTATCATGCAATTGGGTATCATGCAATTGGTTAGTTGAGGGATTAGGCCTACCATTTGAAGCTAGGTTAGGACTAGGCCTACCTGAATTCGAGATTACAAACTCAACAGGCCTACTTTCAGCTATGTCACTAGGCCTACCAAGAGGCATATTTCTATCACGAGATTTTGTAGGTTGAGCATCTTCATCTGAACTTTCTTCCTCTGATAAAACATAGTCAGGGTCTTAATCAGTATCATCATCAAAACCTGACAAAACATCACTTTTGTTTTCACTATCAGAAGTTTCAGAATCTTATATGTTTTCCACAAAACTGTCACTCAAGTCATCATAAACACCAACACCAGATTCCACTACGTTTCTGAACAGTGTATTTTCACTAACTGGTGATTGTCGTCTGCGTCTGTTATTATAAATATCTTCATCAGAACTGTCAGAATCTTCCATTGTAAACTTAAATATATAAAAGCTTAAAATTTTACTCAAAAACCAACTGTAAACAGAAACATTAGCAGTAAACATAAACAACAACAATGCAAACAACAAACAAACACCGACCTCGCAGTTACTGCAGACAGCTGGATTGCGTCAGCCGGCCAGCGCCATAGACCACAAAAACAAAAGATGACAAACAAAAAATTACAGCTACGTAGGAGAAAAAAAGCATAGAGTAATATTTCACAACTCTTTCCAACAAATATGTCATAATATTAGCGCGTTTGGACTATTTAAATAGCCAGTACGATCGATTTTACCGATGACCGATATTTCGGACGTCGGATTTTTCGGGAGATTTTGCTGACGTGCGATATTTCGGACCTCGGAGTTTTTGGCCGAAATTACAACGTCCGATAATTCGGACGTCGGAGTGCAAAGGGTTAAGGTTTGAACCTCTGTTAACCCAGTGGAAGGATGCGAATGACCCGGTTCTTCATCATACCAAACTGTGACCCAACTTGACGTAATTGTGTTGGTGAAGCCAAGACATTCCTCAGACAATAAAACTTATATTTATCAAGTTGCTTGTTAACTAGCATATTTATTTATTTTTGATTGTTTTATCTATACTTATTTAATACGCAAGCACGATTTTTGTGACAATTACTCCTCCGAAACTACTGAACCGATTGGCATGTTTTTGGTGTCATTGGAAAGAGCGTAACGTGAAGTTGTGCAGGAAACTTTCTTTTTAGGTAAATAATTAGAGAGTGAGGCCCTGGGGCCCTTTAAAGTATCGTATTCCTCCATAAGATAAACATGGGAAACAAACATTGTTTTGAAACTCCAGCTGTTGTCAGAAATTAAATATTAAATAATTGGTCTCCATGGAAGCATGAGAAAATTCACAATGTTTACATTTGCTTTGACATTTTATTGTAAACAACTAGAACTGTCAAATGTCTATTTAACAAATACCGACAGCTGATCAAAAAAAAGTATTTTCCTTCCACCATGTAAAACAACTATGTGGTAGGTTTATTTAATCTTAAACTTTATGATAGATTATTTATTATAAATCTATTTCAATGATTATGAAACAGATTTTTCCCATGCGAAGCAAAAATTAATAGTGAGAAGAAGAACATATGTAAAACAGTCAATGTGTAAATTATCTATGTTGTATTAAAAATGTGTTTAGTTTTGGATGTTGGTTTGTGTTAAATGATATCGGTGATTAGTTATTGCATTTTTATTCTAAGGATTTTGCACATGAGTAAGCCTATGATAAATAACACCATTTCAGAGTTCTGCCAGTTTTTGCCTAACTCTATCCTGTAGAGTTTAAAGTAGCATACACCTTATTGTCTACATATTGGCCAAACAACTTAGGTACGGTACTTTATAAAAGCTGTCAGCCTTTTTACGTTGACTTAAATTGTAAGCTTACCTTTTCCCGTACGTGGGCAGATTGATTGTTAAAAATTAACCCTTTAAACTGGAATAGGACTGTCATGTAAATTGTGAGTATTTTTATCAGTTAATAATCTTTTAGTTGACTCTTTTAAAATCATCAGAAATTATGACTGTTATTAGTTTTTAAACAAGTTATTTGTTTATAAATAACTCCTGTACTTCTTTGCAATTGCTCGATTTCGAGCAACATGTACACTAGTTTGTTTTATTACAATGCTGCAAAACAGGATAAACCCAGTTACATTGTAGCATTAATTAATTAATTTTCGAACAACAAAATCTTGACATGCATTATAAATAATAAATATGGTAAAAGCTCATCATGCTGAAGAAATTATAATTATTAGTGTAATCACTCACAACAATACAATATATGACAAAAAACGAATAAATATCAATAAATAACGTACAAATAAATATCTTAAAAAATATTTTGGACAGATAGGAGAAAACATAACATAAGAAAAAAAAACAGTACAGTTACAATGTGCATAATACTTTACTTGAACTCTTCTTACTCCATCTGAACAAGAAATTAATATGTAACATTAAAAACACAATTGATTAAGCAGTGATAAAGCACAGACTCAATGTAAGATATTATAGTTTTGTGTGTTTGACATATTGTAGGTTCGTCCACACATTTTCGTGACATACAACGGTGACTTCTTTGATTGGCCATTTGTTGAGACTCGAGCAGCAGTGTACAATCTAGATATGAAGCAAGAAATTGGGTTTTCTCGCAACAAAGAAGGTGTCTACGCTTGCCGACCTGCTATGCACATGGACTGTCTCTGGTATGTAATTAAAACGTATCCACACATTTTTTATCCCTAAAACTTGTGTAAAAAGTAGTAATTTGATTGAAAGAAGCTGTCACACCATTAGAGCATTGGTTGACTCCTTTACACCAGTAGTGCTGGATAAAAACGTAACAATATTTTTATGTTTAATATTTCAGTTGGGTAAAGCGAGACTCATATTTACCTGTTGGTTCTCAAAACCTGAAAGCTGTTGCCAAAGCTAAGCTGAGATACGACCCTGTAGAGCTTGACCCGGAGGACATGTGCAGGCAAGTATAAAGGGTCTTTTAATTTTGACATGATGTATAAATAAAAATGTTAACATTTTGAATAATTTCATGCTAACAATCAGTGACATTCTTAAATGATGTGGATTGACTATTGACTATTGGATACTGAAGTAGATATACCATTTATATGGAACAGCTGTTGTTAAAAAAGAACATAGTTATGTGAACACAGAATGTGCTAGGGTCTAAAACTCTACCTTATTTTTTGTTGCTCATAAATTTGATGGGTCATAACAGTTGCCGTAGCTCACAATAAGTCATTCTATTAATTTTACTTGGTTAAAAAGTCCATGACGGAAATTAGTGATTTATATCAGCGCAATCTGTCGGTAGCTCACATCAACTACAAAGATTTTGATAAAAAAACTGGTGACTACTTTAACATGGGGATGAAAGGTCTAGTTGTATTAATACTCAAAGATAATAGTTAGTTTTATGAACTCTAAGTATACTTTGCTCACAAAATCTAGGCAGTTTTAGGGGAAGAAATCTATTCCCCCCGTTTGATCATGCTTACGTTATCTGCAGTGGCTTCCTAGTAAAATTGCTTTTTCCTTTTTGTAAATGTGTAATTAGTATATAGAGTAATAATTATTATAACAGTGTTAGATTGTAGATTGTAGAATATGGATGGACTGATTATAACTCGTTCCCCACGCACAGGCTTCGCCTATGTGGGGAAGATCCATTATTTTTTAGAATTACTGTTTTGTAATTTTTGTTTCATGGATAGATTATGTTTGATTTGATTTTTGATTTGATCCTACCTTTGAAATAATTGCTCAACAGCTGAAGTGTGCCAAAACATCAATAAGCTGCGACATATATATTAAACAAAAAAGTTATGGGGGAACTTCCCCCATTACGGCCTAAATTTAGTGAACGAAGCATAATAACGCTGTATTATCATGTGACATGTTTTCATGACAGACTTGCCTCAGAAGAGCCCCAAGTGTTATCCAACTACTCAGTGTCAGATGCAGTCGCTACATACTACTTGTACATGAAGTATGTTCATCCTTTCATATTTGCCCTCTGCACCATCATCCCAATGGAACCAGACGAGGTAAGTAACATGGGTTGGATTTGAGATATTACATGATATATTATTTTATGAGTGTGTTATGAATCATTTAAGCCCTTAACTTATAATCAAAAAACATTTTTGGATTACGAAAAAGGTGCCACACCACATTTACCCTGCAGTATGAAGTTTCCATGAGCCCTGTATTTCAAACGGCAGTTTCAATGATGACAGTTTTACCAAAACCAAATCCATATTTATTTCTTTATTTCTTTATTTATTTATTTTATTACAATGCTGCAAAACAGGATAAACGCAGTTACATTGTAGTATTAATATTCGAACAACAAAATTTTGACATGCATTATAAATAATAAAAATACCGTATGGTAAAAGTTCATCTTGCTGAAGAAATTATAATTATTTAGTGTAATCACTCACAACAATACTATATATGACAAAAACGAACAAATATCAATAAATAACGTACAAATAAATATCTTAAAAAATAACATGGGCAATTATTTAAATATCTATAACAACAATAACGAATTAAATAAGATACTGTTAAGATTAAGCATTTAAACATATTAAAATAATGTTCTCATTGGCTGACTCATTCATCACTAATCCTCTAACTTACCGTACCAACTAGCTAAAAGCAGGGCCATAACTACGGAGTGGCTTTACTTCAAGTGTTGTCTCTGAGACCACGGGAGATGTTCACAAAATCGCTGCCTCGCGAGGGATATCCACAATGGTGCCGTGATCCCAGGAGACTATTATGATAACTCAGTGACCGTGGAAGATGTTCATAAAATCGCCGGGATTGTGAGAGATATTTACAATGGTGCCGAGACCGTAGAACATATTTACAATTTTACTGCTAATGTGGGAATCAATGGCAATGTCTCCGTAATCGTGGGAAATGTTAATGATTTCTCCGGTTTAGGAGATTACATTGATGATGTCTTCGTGATTGCCGTGTGGTGTTTACAATGGGGCCACAACCTCAGGAGACAATGATGATGTTTCCATGACCGCAGGAGATGTCCAAGATTACACCGTGATCACAAGAGATGTTCACTGGCGCCGCGATTTCAGAACATTCCATAGATTCTGCTGCAATTACAATCATAATAACATCAGTGAACAGCCATCTTTGATTGTAATCGTAAACCATACAGAAATTTCATCAGGGGGAGGCAGATAAATTTTTTTTTATTTGATAAAAATATAAGTTTTTCTTCTCCAGAAAGCAGTAACATTCTTACTTCGAAGGGGGTCTACTCTCACACTGTGCAATTTCGATTAATACCCATATCACATCGGCTATCATCCTGTACTTCTGTCCTAATTAATTAACCTCTGTGAAATCTTGCCATGAGGTTGCTGTCAAACTTGAAATTAATTGACTTGTAAATGAGGGTCCATTGCCTCACCGTATTGATGACATAAAGTTGTACATGTATAGTCTCTTTGCCTCTTTGCTATTTTGTGCATGTAGTAGACCATAACTGTAGTGAGACCACCACGAACATAAGGTACATGATGAGATGAGAGAGAAGATGAGATGCGATGGCCCTGTTTGTTGTATTTCCAAATGTTTTGTATGTAGTGAGGTTTAGATGCTTTGTTATCATTCATCCAAATCTATACATATATACAGGGTGTTCAAAAAAGTTGGGGACATAATTTACGTAGCGATTCCTTGGGTAAAAATTAAAAAAAATCAAGAATAACATTTTTCTATAATCGCTTTGTTAACCAGATATCCGCCATTTTGCATTTTTCGCATAAACATTTTTATTTTTTGGATTATTTAAACTAACCTTTATGAAACTGGGTATGTATGTTAAGGTAGAAGAGACCCATGTTAGAAAAATATACATTTGATTCAACTTAACATTTCAAAATGGCCGCCATTTTGAAAAAGTTGAATCAAGATGAATTTTTTTTCTTATATGGGTCTCTTCTACCTTAACATACAATCCAAGTTTCATCAAGATTGTTTGAAAAAATCCAAATATAATAAACGGTATCAGCATTCTGACACATACTTTCTCCCATAAGTTTGTCAACAACATTTATCATGTGTAAGCGATGAGAGTATTATACGGAAATGGGATTTGTACAATTTTGTTCAGAATTTAAAGGACTATAACATACTAAATTTTTATCAAAATAGTTCGGGCCATTTTTGGGAAAATCCGATTTTTCCGTTATTTTATGGGAAAATAACATAATTTGCAATAACTTTTGAACCGTAATTTTTACAGAAATGGGATTTGTACCATTTTGTTCAGAATGTAAAGGCCTATAATATATTAAATTTTTATCAAAATCGTTCAGGCCATTTTTGGAAAATTCCTATTTTTCCGTTATTTTATGGGGTTTTATGGGAAAATCCCCATTAAAAATCAAAATTTCTAATAAAAGAAAAACTATCAAAATTGTAAGGAACTAACAAAAATAAATTGTAACATTATATGTTAAATCAAAACTGGATTTTTTCTAAAATCCTATTTTTTGTTATTTTATGGGGTTTTTATGGGAAATTAACATGATTCACAATAACTTTTGAACGGTAATTTTTACAGAAATGGGATTTGTACCACTTTCTTCAGAATTTAAAGGGCTACAACATACTAAATTTTTATCAAAATCGTTCGGGTCATTTTAGAGAAAATCTGATTTTTCCGGTTTTTTATGGGATTTTATGGGAAAATCCCCATTAAAAATCAAAATTTCTAAAAAATGAAAAAACGCCTGGAGATACCATGGATTAGAACCTACATACCAAATTTCATCGAAATCGGACCTCAGGTGTAGTCCCTAGAACTGTACACATCCAGACACACAGACACACACATTTACCATTTACCATTTACCATCGAAGTCTTCGCCGCAGTCCTTGGAGACCGGGGAATTGTCAATTTTTTTCTCATCTTTCTTCTTGCTAGCTTCTTGATTGTGTGTAGTGTTGTAGTGTGGTTGAATGTGTGATTTGTATGATGAGTGTTATTTTGTAGGAAATTTATGTTCTTCTAGATATTCTGTAATAATTGTGTAATAAGGTCGATTTAAGAGGTATTGTTTCAGCTGTTTTTTGAAGTTAGAGAGCAAGTTTATGTCTTTAAGTTTGTTGGGTAAGATGTTGTATAGTTTTATTCCCATGTAATTTGGTGTTTTGCTGGTTTTCGTTAGTCTGTGTTGGTTTAGATTAAAGTTTGATTTTATTCTGAGGTTGTGTTCGTGACAGTTTATTCTGAGTTGAGGTGGGTTTGATTTGATAAAAAGGATGGTTTCGTAAAGATATAAGGATGTTAAGGTGAGGATCTGGTTTTTGACAAAGAGAGGTTTACAGTGTTCTTCCCGATCAACTTGTTCCAGGATTCTGATGGGTTTTTTCTGTTGTACTAGTATTTTTTTCAGGTCGGTTTCATTGGCAGAGCCCCATGCAATTATGCCATATCTAATGTGTGAGGAGAAGAGAGCGTGGTATGCCGTTTTGCAGATCTCTTTGTTTGTGATCTTCCTGATTCTCCTTAGAGCATATACAACTTGGGATAGTTTACCTCAGATTTTCAATATGGTCATGCCATGTTAATCGGTTGTCCAGTGTGATTCAGAGAAATTTAGCGTTTCGTTTTTCATTTCCTTCCTGTATCTGGCTGTTAGAAGTGAAGTTTAAAACTGTTGTTTTTTGTTGATTTATTTTTAGGTCTAATGAGTTGCAGGTGGCTATTGAAGTTTGAAGTGTTTCTTCTATTTTTTCCTTTTGGGTGTTGGAATGTGTTGGTGTAATTATGTTAGTGTCGTCCGCAAACATTATGCAGGAGCTATCACTAGATAGGTCATTCGGAAAAGAATTTATGTATATTAGGAAGAGGATCGGGCCAAGTATTGATCCTTGCGGGATTCCTTGATAGGTTTCTCGAAGTTTAGATCTGTATTTGATTTCATAGTTTTTTTTAGTGTATTCTAGTTCTACAAGTTGTTGTCGGTCTGTCATGTAATTTTGGAGCCAGATTAAAGCATTATGGGTGATATTTAGTTCTTGAAGTTGTTGTTCTTGACAGACACACACACACATACGGGGTTTTACCGAATACTCGCAAACACCTAATTGTGGCATCTTTCAAACTGCGGCCACCAGTGGATGAAGGAAGGTGGTAGAAACATGTGTGCATCGATATTTTTAATGAACACTCCATTTTAACATCTAACATTCCAGTTTTTAATTGTAGCACCTTGCCACAAATCGGTATATATCAACAGTGTGTGGACAGGATGCCACTAATGCGTTGTAGCGCTTGAGCGGTGTGTTCGCCCCCCCTACTTCTCGCGTGCGCTGTTGCCAGTTCTCCGTTTTAGTTCCTTCATTCCGTTCTGTATTCATGTGGCTATGTCCTAGCCGCTGTAGCTCATTGCAATTGCCCGCGCTCCTCACGTCGTCTTTTATTAGTGTAAAGATTTTTTTACATGCAGTTTTTTCCAAGCTCCAATGATTTTGACAATTAATGGATTTAAAGTCAATGGACCAAATGCTATGTCGTTGATATTTTATCGTCACATTATATGTATGGTTTACGAACTTAGATACTTGGATTAAAGGCCTTAATGTGCTGGGTAAATTATCAGTTTCATGGGAATATACAAGAAATTTACATAAAAATACGCAATAAGTATGACTCCGTTTTTTTCTGTATGAATAATTAATTAATGGTAATGTAAAAGTATGTGTAACAAATTTTTCACCACACTATGATGTTTTTAGCTGTTTTACATACGTTAATTGGTGGCTGAAAGTTATGTTTTGCTGGCCATGCCAGTTGTCATTGTCATATAGGGGCCGAGCAGGCGTTTACATCCCTAGGGCCGCAAAATCACTTGTTCGCTTATTTACTTAAAACATTAATGTATATTAAATGCACAAGCTGTATCCATGGCATTGCAATAGACTTGTTTTTTTTTGTCACAGCTGTCTAGACAACTATTTATTGTTATTTTTGATTTTGCTAATTCCTCAAAATATTTTA